TTTAATCCTGTTTAGTCCTGCTTTTGCCCTGGTTTTAGTTCTAGTTTAGTCCTGGTTTAGTCCTGGTTTAGTTCTGGTTTAGTCCTGGTTTAGTTCTGGTTTAGTCCTGGTTTAGTTCTGGTTTAGTTCTGGTTTAGTCCTGGTGTAGTTCCGGCAAAGAGTGGAATTACCAAAAATGTGCCCAAAATGTTAAAACAGGAAAATACCGCCATGTAATCCATTTATTTCAACAAAGTAACTGTAATCCAATTACCACTCATTGAAACAGTAACTGTAACTGAATACAGTTACTCATAATTTGTACTCTGATTACATAATGCCAGTACATGTAATCTGTTACTCCCCAACACTGCTTATTATTCACCATTTATGTGTATAAGTTTTCACAGCTCTCAGACACCAGTGTTTTGTTTTGTCGGTAAAACTAACAACAAGTATGTTAATGTGCACTTTCTGATTCTTGGAAAAAAAAAACACTACATAATAAGTAGACTTATTTTGACCTCAAGAGCTGCTTATACTATATATCTGACAAATCTTGCTCAAATGCATAGGAAAAATAGAGTACAGTGGGTCTAGATGTGTTCCAGTGGTGTTCACCTGACTCTCCCTGGATGTTGCTGTGATGCTGCAGAACACTGAGGAGGGACACTTTTGTCCTGAGTACTACCATATTTTTCAGACTATAAATTGCTCTTTTTTTCATGGTGTGGGTGTTTCCTGTGACTTATACTCCGATGCAACTTATATTAAAATATAAAAATGTTCAGACTGACAGCCGCGAGAGGGCACTCTAGACTTGTGTGTTAGTATCTATTACTCCTGTACCACTGTCACTTCACATTCTACTGCACATGTCTCCTGTAGAACAAGCCATTGTTCTGCTGCAAATAGTGAAATACTCAGTCGAAAAGGTAATTGAGCAGCAGAAAGAAAGTTTGGAGTGAGCAAGAAACTTGTCAGGGACTAGCAGAAAGCGGGGATGGAGAGAACAGTTTCATGAGAACCGGGCGAGTGCGCCATCCAACTTTCCTGAAGTCACAGGATGGATGGACAAAACCTGAACTTCAGTGATACTGAAACCATCCTGTCGGGATTCAGAAAGACCCGAATAATTCTAATTGGAACTGATGCGGAGTCTGACGACAGCGGCACAGAGGAGAAAGCAGCGCTCTGTTTACATCATGGATCTGTGATTTATCTCCGGAGGTCATGCAGAAGTGACACAGAGGATGAATTCAATGGATTTGGTAAATTTGTGTTCTGTTGTTTATGCTATAATTATCTGAAGAACTGTTAATATGTTACATTGACATAATAAAGCCTATTCAGTCTGTTGTTCTCTATTCTGTTGTTATTACTAGAACTTGCATTTCAAGATGAAATATCAGTTCCTGGTCTCTGATTTTATAAAATACATTTCCCCAAAAAGTGGGACTTATAGTCCGGTGTGACTTATATGTGTTTTTTTTCTTCTTCATTACACATTTTTGCCTGGTGCGACTTATACTCTGGAGCGACTTATAATCCGGAAAATACAGTAGTCCTCTCTTCTGCTGTGCCCTGACACAATCTGCTGATCCTACCTGATCAGTCCACACTCGACATTTGACTGAGACCACCTTCAAGTTAAATTGTAAACAAAGACCAAAACTCATCTAATTTACATGATTTTATGTGCTAACTGTCAGAAGAAAATGTTCCTTGTGTTTAAACTGTTGTTTTGTTGTATTTTGAATGGAACTTCGAGTATTGCTGACATAGATAAAGGGATTTTATTTTTTTTAGAACTTGGCACTACTTTCTGTATTTTCCATCAGTTTTTTTCAACATTTCTTCACTAACTTCCACTTGACAGAAGTAAAGCTATAATACAGTATTTAACACAAGTACTGTCCCACCAAATGAAGTAATAATACATGAAAATCTATCATCTGCACTTGAATTACACAAGGCAAGGTGAGTGAAGAGTGTCTTGCCCAGTGACACAAAAACATATATAGTAGTGGGGGTCCAAACTTATTGAAGTATGTGCTGCATGGAGGTCTAGAGTCAAAGTTTGTGTTAACTTCAGGGGTGCAAGTTCGATTCTTGACCAGCAATGTTCTGAATTTCTCTCCCAACTCTGATCACATCCATTGTAACTCTGTCGAATAATTCTAATAATAAATGCAAAATTAAACAATAATAATAATAATAATAATTATTATTATTATTATTATTATACACTACCGTTCAAAAGTTTGGGGTCACCCAGACAATTTTGTGTTTTCCATGAAAAGTCACACTTTTATTTACCACCATGAGTTGTAAAATGAATAGAAAATATAGTCAAGACATTGACAAGGTTAGAAATAATGATTTGTATTTGAAATAATATTTTTTTTCCTTCAAACTTTGCTTTCGTCGAAGAATCCTCAATTTGCAGCAATTACAGCATTGCAGACCTTTGGCATTCTAGCTGTTAATTTGTTGAGGTAATCTGGAGAAATTTCACCCCACACTTCTAGAATCCTCCCACAAGTTGGATTGGCTGGATGGACACTTCTTGCGTCTGTACGTACGGTCAAGATGCCCACTTCTCTTTTTACTCTGCTTAGAGCCTTTCTGTGCTGTTCTCTGAAGGGAGTAGTACACACTGCTGTAGGAAATCTTCAGTTTCTTGGCAATTTCTCACATGGAATAGCCTTCATTTCTAAGAACAAGAATAGACTGTGGAGTTTCACATCACAGTTCTCTTTTTCTGGTCATTTTGAGCATTTAATTGACCCCACAAATGTGATGCTCCAGGTCAGTTTTATAGCTTCTCTAACCAGCTAAACTGTTTTCAGTTGTTCTAACATGATGCACAAGGGTTTTCTAATCATCCTTTAGCCTTCGGACACAATGAGCAAACACATTGTACCATTAGAACACTGGAGTGACAGTTGCTTGAAATGGGCCTCTATACACCTATGTAGATATTCACCAAACACCAGACATTAGCAACTAGAATAGTCATTTACCACATTAGCAATGTTTAGAATGTATTTCTGATTAGTTTAATGTTATATTCATTGAAAAAACAGTGCTTTTCTTTCAAAAATAAGAAAATTTCTAAGTGACCCCAAACTTTTGAGTAGTGTACATGCAAAAAATATCAATTTAAATAAATAAGTTAGAAAAATAAGAAAAAAAGTTGTCCAATTATATTTAATTTTGTGAATAATTATCTTGGAAATGTGTTATAAATTCCAAAGTTTCCTCTGATAACTAAACCCTTGACCATCTCTTAGCTACTCCAGCGTAACAAGGCATCTGATGAGCTGAAGAGTATAATTCGTATGCACTCGGGGCCTCAATTACTGCGCTCTACTCTGCTTCTGTCTGTTCCAATGACCACTCCAACAGTTCACTTACACCCTCAAAGCACATGCAACATAGAAGAGAAAGACAATGGGTAGACTAGAATGCTGCAATCGCCTTATATGGATGCTAGAACACATCACATAATATTGTGTCTGACAGTTTTCCCAATGATTGTATTCTCATATTTTGACCCTGACCATTTATGTTAGTGACAAAAAGCAGCAGTTTAACAATATTCGTTTTAGCTGCCACATCTGCATTAAATGTCCTGATCTATAATGTTTCCTCTGGAGTTGTGTTTTGTTTCATTCACACGTTTGACACACAAACCCTGCACATTCAGGCTGAGTTCTTCTCTCAAACTAAAAACACTGTGTTCCTCTACACCTTCGGTACAATCATTTGGATAATTTCAGCCCTGGAATTGCAAATCTCTCCTGAACAAAAGGTAAAAGGAGCTGCTAACTTAAAAACTACTGCTTCATTGACCAGAGCATTTTGAGCTTTGGAGGAGTAGACAGACTAATAATGAAAGATTAAGACTTATTCACACTTCATAAGAACATAAGAACTTTATTCTTGAGGTGATAAGAACAAGAACAAAGTTTGTTTGAGTTCTGACATTTCATACTTCAAAACATGGTCTGCTGCCGAACTGCCCCGCCCCGCTCTGCCCGCCCCTCGCTCTGCCCCGCCCCCTCGCTCTAGCTATAAAGAGGGGATTTCTTTTTGTCCTCCAGCCTGACTGCTCTTTTTTTTTTAGTAACCCTCCTTTTCGCTTTCACAAACTTGTCACAGAGATTACGGCAGACTTTTCTACACTGATTTTCATCCGAGCCTAAAATATTTGCGATCTCCCTTCATGAATTTCTTACCATTTGGCGTCTTTATAGTCACAGAGCGTCATGTCATACAGATGTTTGTATTTTCTCTCTGCCACCTGTCACTCAAAACCATCCTTTTTTTTATTGTTCCACACCGGCAAGGAAGCAGCCGTTGGATCTCACGCACCAGTTGGCTCCAGCAGATAAACCACACCCACAAAAATAACCAATCAGAGCAAAGATGTCAGACAGTGCTGCCAAACAAAGTTCTACTCAGCTGAGGTGTCAAAAACAAGCCACAAGAACTGCCCAACAGGAGCTGCCCTCAACAGGAGCTGCCCTCAACAGGAGCTGCCCTCAACAGGAGCTGCCCTCAACAGGAACAAAGTTCTTAAGTTCTTATGAAGTATGAATAGGCCTTTTCTCAAACATGTGTGAATGAAACAAAACACAACTCCAGGTATATGATGGCTTAAAGCTCACAAGAATCCATTCTGTGTAATATAGAATGTTGTAATGTCACTCTAAAGCACAGCAATTGAAACAGAATCTGATCAATATTGCTGAATGTTCGTCTAACTAGTAATGCTAATGCTAAAGCTAATTATTATAATGTTGATTTGGGAATCTAAACATTTTGACATGCTACACAGGAGTCAGTTGAGCTTGTATTACTGTTATGCAAAGAAAAATGAATGAAAACCAGAGAATTAAGTTACAGTGGTCCACTATGATAGGGTTAGGTTTAGCCAACCCAAAAATCAGTATTAGGCTAACACAATGAAAATAAACACTTGAATAGCTGGTTTGTTTTATATCATCACGTACCTGAGCGTCCACCTTCATAAGCTCCGCCCCCGCGTCCACCAGGTATCCACAGATGGTTCTCTGACCCAGAGCGGCGGCACGGTGCAGGGCCGTCTCTCCTCTGGGGTCAAAGAGGAAGAGGGGGCCAAAACACAAAAACAAACAAACACAAAAGAAACATCAGTGGAACTCTTCAACTCCGTATACACTATTCTGCATATTTTATTTTCTGTTATTATTTATTCTGTTATATTTTTGTTTAAGTGAATTTTTATTTTGTCATTATACATATGTTTGTTTTTTCAGGCTACATTTATTATCTGTTTTTCCCACTCTGTCAGTAATATCAACACATCTAGATTCCATTAAATTGATTAATGAGTTTATGATTACATTCTTTTCTTTTTTTTTTTTTTTTACAGTTATAAAAATGTGAAAAACAGCACTAGCATGCTAACAGCACACTGGTTCACAGACAATAAAAAGCTTTAATAATTAGACCCACAGAGTTGCTTCAATATACTTTATCTCTACTAGGGCTGTAAAATTTTGTAAAAATACCAAAGTGTGATTTTTCTGACAAGGATTGTGATAAGATTTTGATACATTTCAAATATTTCAAAAATGCATCCAAAAGAACCGAAAAGACTGAACTATGAAATGACAAACTAATCAAACAATCTGTAGAGATCTAAACTAGGGTTAGCAGGTTTTATAAGATATTTTGTTGCTTGTAGAAGAAATTATTGTACTTGAAAAATGTCAGCGTTGGCGATTTGCTAATTGCATCTATTCAAATTATGATTTTTCTGTGATTAATCTTTCAGCTGTAATCTGTACTGAGGCAAAACTAATTTTACATGATTACAGAAGCTCACACCTGGAACATTGCACCTTCTGTAGGTCAGTAAAACTCTGCATCCTGTACAATCAAACCTATAGTCACAACGGAACATCTGGAGCACTTCCACTGGAGCACTATTTACGTTTTAACAGTCGTGCAGCATTATCACCAGTGTGCTGCTGCTCATCCGGTGGCTGTGTGGAGGTGAGACCAGCACCGCCCCACGTGAATCAGTCCCAGGTCCCGCCTGTTCCAGACCACTTTGGAAGGTAATACCTCGAGCAGTCTGCTTTGGACACACGGGGTGGTATGTAAAGCTCTGCCTCCTGTGGGACCTGTGGGACCCGATGCAAAAGAGTGTGGCGCGGGTGGGAGTGCAAACTGCAATCCCACAAACCAAATATGAACATAAAGTAACATAAAATGATTCATGTTTGTCTGCCATACATCATTTGTGCTGGATATGTTTTTTGGCATTAATAAAAATATTTTAAGCAGTCTAAAACTGCAGATGTGATCTAATCTTAAACACATTTTACACAATTCCTTTCTGCTTCTCGGTGTTTGATAGAGTTTAAGAAAGCGAACATCCACATCTTGCAGGATTTGTGTGTGGGAGCAGGACAAAATATCGCAGATGCAGGCAGGAGTGAAAATTACAATTGTTCGCGGGCGCCCAGAACTCTAGTGGTACAGATCACGTCACGTAGAGGAAACACTAAAGGTCCGTGCTGGTCCGTGCTGTTCCGTACCAGCCCTATGGAAAAAAGGCTAATGTAGACTTGTAGCTTAAACGTCTTATATATACACCTGTGTATCTGTTGTGTATACCTACAGTTGTGTTGTGTATACCTACAGTTGTGTTGTGTATACCTACAGTTGTGTTGTGTATACCTAGAGTTGTGTTGTGTATACCTACAGTTGTGTTGTGTATACCTACAGTTGTGTTGTGTATACCTAGAGTTGTGTTGTGTATACCTAGAGTTGTGTTGTGTATACCTACAGTTGTGTTGTGTATACCTACAGTTGTGTTGTGTATACCTGGAGATGTGTTTTGTTTCATTCATACATGTTTGTGTAATCCTGTATTATTATGTATGAAATTATCTAAATGATTCAAGTGAAGTTGTATGCAGTTTAAAAACAAAGTGGAGCAAGTCTTGACATGGTGTAACAGAGTATTTTCCATTTGAGAAAAGAACTTCGCCTCAGTACGAAACAACACAATCCCATCCTGTAGATCCGAATCTCATGATCTGTGTTCTGTTGTGTCATTCTGTCTATTTTTATCACTAAAATCAATAAATAAAGAAATAAAAATAACATGAGAGTAGATCAGATGTTGTACCCCTCGGCCCCGGGCTGCTCTCCTCCTGCTCCTCCTCTCATCTCTCCTCTCTGTAGAGCTCAACCTCCTGTTTGATGGTCACAACATATGGAATACATTGTGAGGTCTGCAGGGAGCCGCAAAGACGCACACACGTACAGCGACAACAGCCACGACGGCCAAACGGAGACACGCTCAAAGGGAAACTTCATTATATAGCTCCGACGCTGAAAAGTAGGGCTGCAAAATGAATCACAATCTAATCAAAATTTTTATGACGCAATTAGCAAATCGCAAAGGCTGTAATTTTGTAGTACCATACGTTCCTCTATAAACAACAAACTCTCTCGTCTCATTCTGAATAAAACCTGCTAACCCTCTAATTTAGATCTTAGATGTGATTCTTGTATATTAAATGACCTATGCTCAACTTTTATCTCTTCTAGATCAGAAAAACGCCTTTTACTTCATATAAAATTGATTCAATTAAAAGAACTTGTGTCTCATCCACCAAATTTTTGGGTGTCATTGTCAATGATAATCTAAACTGGAAAGAGCAGCTGACTGGGTGACCAGAAAAACTAACAAATCTCTTGGTATTATAAGAAAAGTTTGTAAATTTATAAGTCTATACTTATATACTTCCTATAGTTTAATTTATCCCTATCTGTCATATTGTAACATAATCTGGGCAAGCACTTTCTCTATTACTGTGAACAAAATATTATTGGTGCAAAAACGTTTTGTTCGAATTGCAACTCATTCTATGCCACTAACATCGTCTGCTCATTTATTCACCAAACTTAACATTCTTAATATTTATGGGATTAATATTTATCAAATTTGTATTTTTATGTATAAAATTCTTTACAATTCTCAAGAACGATCCCCGAACATTTCACATTTTATTTTAAAACCAATGCAGAGATTCATAGATACAAAACTCAAATTCATAATTTTCATGTTCCAAAATTTGTCACATCAAGAGCTCAGTTTTGCCTACGATACAGAGGCTGTAAATTCTGGAGTCAGTTTTCACATCTGGTTAGTGACGGCAGTTCAGAGGCGATGTTTAAAAAGAGTTTGAGGAAATGTTTGATGTTTCACACTAATGTTTGATCATCTTTCAATTGTGAATATTTCATTGTATTTTTATCCATGTTTGAATCAAAAGAATTTAATCCATGGTGTTTAAATGTAATTTTTCTATATTTATACATTTTTATGCACAATGATAATGTAAAAATTTTAATGTATTCATAAGGTGGAGGCTTTAATATAAGCCCTGTTGGGTTTTTTGCCTCTTCTGGCACCTACTTTTTATCTAGTGTGTTTCTTTTTTATTGTCATGTTATATGTGCAAAATAAATAAATAAATAAATAAAAATAAATAATATTGTACATGCAGTTATTTGTGAATAATAATAATAATCATATTACCTGTCAAAGTGGAAAAAGTGGGTGATACTAACTGTTCACTCTGAAACATGTTCTTGATATGACTTAAATTTTTAAAAAGTTAAGACTAATAATTTATTTTCAGTTCTAAACCAACCAAGATATTGTAATAAGACAGTGAGGATGTCAGATAGTGAAAATAATGACTTTGTTATTGCAGACGATGCAGAAGTTATGGTTCATTTTTAATGTGGACTCAATATTTATGACTCTGTGGTTGTGATGTGTGGTTAATATAAGCGAAACATGACAGATTGAGAGCACCTTGGCAGATCTATATATGTCTGTATTATATTTTTAAAAAGCAATATTTAAAAAAACTTGGATTTCATTTGAATAGGTTTGTGTTTTTCAACAGTTTTAATTTTTTGTTCATTCTTCTGAATTTCAATTAAGAACGAAAAACAATAAAATAGGAAAACAGTTTGTTATTTTCATTATTCCGTTTTAGTGTCAAACAAAAAACAGACTTGACCTCTATTTCCAAGCTTTAGTAATAATTAGTCCAATAATAAGTTTATTTCAAATGAGACCAATCAAAAAACTGTCTTCGTGCCTGTTTCAATTTTGATATTTTATTCTCTCTGGTTTATTTGTCCCGGAAGTTCTGCTGCTAGAGGAACTTGCCTGAAAAATTGCTGCAGTTTTGTGGACAAACATGTCTCTTCTTTTATAGCGACGCATTTACTTTAGAAAGTAACTGCTGAACTCCAGGACGAGAAACAGGAAGCAGCGATAAACTCTCTTGCACTGAATTCACATGACGCTGAGCAGCAAAACTTCATATAAACCAGAGAGAATAAAATATCATAACTGAAATAGGCACACAGAATATTTTTTTGATTGGTGTAATTTGAAATAAACTTTAAATTAAATACTGGAAATTGAGGTCGAACTATGTTTTTTTGTTTGACACAAAAATGGAAAAAATTAAATAAACTGTTTTCCCATTTGATTGTTTTTCATTCTTGATTGAAATTCTAAAGAGCAAACATATGTATACTACATATGGGCCCGGTCAAGCAGAAGTAAACAGCAAGGCCAAAAATTCAAGTTAATGCATCTGATATAAAAATGTATTGAACAGATACATATGTACTCTAGTTTATGAAACTGTTGACCTTTTTTCTGTACCATTTTTGGTTCTAAAATTCCATATGTTTTAAACAGACCATGTATGAAACATGGAACAAAAATTATTTCCCAAATTTCAAAGACCTGCAAATCATGTAAATAAATGGATGTATTTCATCATATCTTGTGTTATTCCATCTTTGAACTGTTGATGAAGGTACATGATTTTTCAAAAAAAAAAAAAGTATTTAAAATGATAAGAATTTGCTTGGAAGGACTGACATATTTTATAGAAATAGTTTCCTTTCATTTTGAAGTAATATTAAAGTATTCGGAAGAAAAAAGTTGACAAATGATGCAAAATCATTCATCTTCTACTTGCTTGAACCATTTTCCCTCCGTTACTTTTCCCTCCATTACCATGACCTTTTTTAATAAAAAATCTCATGAGTCAAAAAGTAAGAGGTTTTTCAACCTAATCTTGTACCATATGGTAGAAAACTATATGAAGCAAATATTCAAACCAGTTTGTTAAGGATATGTAAGTGAGAACCAAGAGTTATCACTGTTTGGATTTATTGCCCAAAAAGTGCTGCAGATTTCATTCCCTCCGTTACCAACATGAGTTTTTTCATTTTTTGTCAACAACTTGAAAGAATATCACAGGTTTAACTTTACCCTGTTGGAGTGTAACTCTTTCCTACATTCTGATACTTTACTTATTTCAATAGTCCCTCTAGTTTCTGAATAAGAGACATTTGAATGTCAAAAATCTGCCCCTGTTTCCCTCCGTTACCACTTGACCAGACCCATATACTACATATTAATTAATGTATTTATTTACAAATATACTTACAGTACTGTATCTGCCACATCCAGTAGGTCTGGAACTAAAAATGCACAGTTTGAATGTAAACAGACAATATGACAGTTTGATGATCACATTTATAAGTTAGTGGTTACCATTTTTCACAATGTAGCTGACCATCTCTTTACTTCCTGTGCTGACAGCGTGGTGCAAAATACTGCATCCTGATTGGTCCAGTATGGTGAGGTCCGCCCCCTTTGAGTGCAGCTCCTGAAGCTGTAAAATGTAAAATACATGTTTAATTATACAATTTTTTATTTTCTGTAATGTATAAAAAATAAAAAATGTACTTACCATTTTCAAATCCATTTTCTTTACACATTCAAATATTTCTACAAAAACAGAGGGACAAAAAAAATTAAAACAGTACAAATAATTAAATAAACTTTGTAATATCTGTCAAGTACAATGAAGTAAAATCACTCAATGAATGTACTGCATATGTACAATATTTCACAACTACTATTACTACTTTCATTGTCCCAGATAGTACCTCTTACAACTTCTACTATTACTACTACTATTATAATGGGTACTACTCTTATTATATTATCACTACTCCAACTACTACTCCTACTGTAACTACTGCTATAACTACTACTATAAGTACTACTCCTACTCCTCATACTAGTACAATAACTACTCCTTCTACTACTACTATAACTACCACTCCTCTTACTACTATTACTACTACTCTTACTACTACTTCTACTACTACTATAACTACTCCTTCTACTATTACTACTACTACTACTACTACTATAACTACTCCTTCTACTACTATTATAACTAGCACTCCTCTTACTACTAGTATAAGTACTACTCCTCCACTACCACTACTCTTACTACTACTCCTACTACTACTACAACTACTCCTCCAACTATAGCTACCACTTCTCCTACTTCTACTGTAACTACCTCTACTCCTACCTCTACTACCATAACTACTACTCCTACTATAACTACTACTCCTACTATAACTACTCCTACTCCTACTACCTACTACTACTACTACTACTACTACTACTATTCCTCCTGCTACTATAACTGCTATAACTACCACTCCTCCTACTACTCCTACTACTGCATGTACAGCTCCTCCTACTACTACTCCTACTACTGTATGTACAGCTCCTCCTACTACTACTCCTACTTCTACTCTTCCTCCTACTACTCCTACTTCTACTCCTCCTACTATAACTCCTACTCTTACTGGTATGAGTACTACTGACACTAC